GCGGTAGCGGGGGGCGGGCGGCGCCCTCCCCGGGCCTCCCTCGAAGGTGACATTGACGGAGGTCGGCGATGGCATCCGCAGCCGGGCCCCGGCGCCGGCGGCGATCGGAGCAGGCCAGCCGGGCTCCCGCTCCCGGCCTCCTCTCGCTTTCCTTATTAACACCCTCATTAATAGGAAGAGGAACAAAAGCGGCCACAGACAGTGCGGCGTGAATGCTGACCGGGGAACCGGCGCTAAAATACCGAGACTGCAGGGAAGACGGTGCCTGTGCATCTCAGTTAATAGCTAATTAACAGACAGCGGTCATGTTTAAAACGCTTGGAAACCTGCGTGTGCCTCTCCTGTCGCACATGTGAATGAAGCAGTTGCCGTAGGGAGTGGATTGCTGCGTTTTTTAGAAATGCAAAGTAATAAGCGGCGGTCGTTCTGTTTACATGCTGGGATTTCTTGGGTACTTTTTAAAAACCGTTTCTTTTTTTAAAGCCATTAAAATTCCTTGCCCGCAGTGCCTTTGTGCTGAACCCCAGCTGCTCGTGGCCCTCGCTTCTCCACGCCTTTGCTAACGAGCAGCCTCCATGTTCTTCTTTTTCCACGGTCTTGTATTACAAACACCCCGCTTAACACTTCTGACCCGATTTGCCTTTGCTGGTGGCCTCGGGGGTTTGTGTTTTGGAAGATCTAATGCACTAGGTTTATCTCACGAGCCCGTGCTCTGCTGTTCTCTCTGTGGGTTTAGGTTTACATTATGTAATGCAGCAAAATGTTCTGCGTGTAATGCACGTGCACCCCAGGGCTGTTGTTGCCAGTCTGGCCTTTTTCAGTAAATTAGTGCTCCTCTTGATGCATGTTTGTCTTCGGTGCTCATTAACAGGGAAAGCTGACAAATTCTGGCACTCAAGAAAGAATTAACACGTTTTTGTGTAATATTAGATGATTTTAGGCTTCTCGGACTCTTGAAGCTTTTGAAGTTCTCTTGAAAATGTGCCTCTGCAAACATACATGCCCTTTGCCTCTTCCTTGAGTTGGGAATCTCCACAGGGATGCGTTGGCATGGTTTGACTGTCACACACACATCGTGTGTGACAGTGTGTGACCTTGATGGACCCCACCTGAAATGCGAGGCACCCGGCTGGCTTCTGCGGCGCTTCTGCTTTGCCAGGGTGGCTCGCAGAGTCTGGTCTCCAGTATATGCTTCCAGTCCAGTATGTAGACGTAAACGTCAGTATGGAAAACAAAGGGTGGCAAAGAAACACAGCAGCAATTGAAAAATGCCTCCTGGAAGTCCAGAGTTCAAATTCTTGTGGTCTTTTTTTATTTTTCTTCGGGATCCTTTTAGTCTAACCAAGTTGTTCCTTTGTTTAAGGAATGGTTTTGCTGAGCACTCAGTGGAAAGAGACTTTAGTTTTTTGACTTAAAGATGTAATTCAAGAGCTTCAGTCTAGGCTTTTCTCAAACCGAGATTTGCTATTTCTCTGTAGGATTTGCTTTGTGTTCAGGAAAAAAGTGTTCTCCCCTAAACGGCCAGCATCTGAGGGCTTTTCAGCAGTGTCCTCTCACTCCCTGCCTGGGTGCAGGAGCATTTACAGAGGAGTGCCCTTGCTCTGAGCTCAGCTGTGCATGTGATTTATTGGAAAAAGCAGGGTCAAAGATCTGTTTTGGAGCTGGGGAGAGGATGAGGAATCTTCCTATAGAATGGCAAAAGAGCATTATAATTCTGGCTTGGCCTGTCATTTACTCTTCCCTTACCTAATTATGTAGATAAAACAAGGAAAAACATTTTCATGGATTGGGAAGCATTGCATGCACCAGAATTGCAGCTGAAATGTTGGACCATGTTAAATTCTGGTAACAATCTGGATTGCATTCTGATCGAGCTGTCATTTAATGAGATTAAAGGTATTCCTTGAAATTGTTATGGTTTGTTCCATTATATTTTACGCAGAATTAGGATGCTGCTTCACAGTATGCTGTGATCCTCAAAGTAGAAAAGTATATCTGGGAAGGATGCAAAAATGCAACCCAGTTTGGGGATTTCTTCTGTTAAATAAAACTTTGTAGTTGGTTGGTGTGTGTAGTTCATGCTAGGTTAGGAAAGAAAAAGCAACTAGCTATATCTGACTTCCTCTGAAGTGGAGCTTCAGACTGGCAAGGTCATACCTGGTGTATGACCTCTCTGCAAATATTAGCGGAGTGAAATTACCAGCAGGGAAAAGGAAGCAGTCCCTAGCCAGGCTGTCTGCTGCCGGTAAGGCGCTTGCAAAATGCTCAGACTTTGCAGGGAGGACCCAGGACAGCTCTGATGCGGGTGGAGCTGGCTGTACCCTAGGTTTTCGTTCCTTTTGGAAAACTCTTCCAACCTTTGTGGATTGAAAAACAGACCAGCAAAAAAGCAATTTGTGATAGAGTAGTGTTGAGGGAAGAAATGAGTTTGTAATCATATCAACCTTATTTGCCCACTGGAGTACAATCCACTTTTGTGCTTTATTAATTATGAAATATTAATGCAATTACAACCTTGAGATCCAGGAGTTTTATCTTGGATAGACACAGAGACAGCAGTAATTTTGTTTTTTCCTTCAACTCTTCAATAGCCTGTAATAGCTCTCGTCCCTTGTGCTCTTGAGAGCCTTTTGTAATTGGGCTCGGGTCATTTTGTGCAGATTCCCAAAACTACTTTGAAACAAGGCTTCATCAGCTCTGAACTCGTGGTGGAATCAAAGACCTGCAGCTCGTTGTTATTGAGTCATCCATCGCAGTCAGTCTGTTGATTGGGAAATCTGCTTTTCCTGGATTACAAAATTAGTTATGGAGCAATTTCAGGAGTTGTCTACAGTGGGAAGTTACTCCAGAATAAACCAGCATATTCGTCTTAAGTGGATAACGGTATAACTAATAGTATATAGGGATTTATTTCTGGAAGGAATGCCACTGAAAAACTGATGCACATAGCTAAACTTACTGCACAGACAAGTCCTATGGTTTTGAGAAGGGTTGAATGTGGGGAACAGAACAATTGGGCTCCTTCAGAGTGTCTGTTAATGAAGTACATGTATGTTATGTTTCTCTGGCTTGCTTTGTTCTCAGAAGAGGGAAAATTCCTGTATCTTATGGAAACAGCGCTCACGGAAAAACTTTGCTTAAAGACTGGTTATCCAGAATTGTTTCTCTCTTGTATTTCCCCATCTCTCTTAAATAATCCTGCTCTGATCAAAGGATCTGGGAACACTTTGGAATTCTGATGTAAAACAGAAAATACACACTTTGCCACAAAACAAACAACAGATATTTAAATAAGCTGTATTCATCCAGAGCTTATTCAGGCTGAGGACTGATCTGGATTGACTGTAGCGAGTGAGATACATGTTTTATGGCTTTTGGTCTCTTGATCAGGACTAAAGTACGCTTATTTTCTGTTTGCTCAAAGCCTTTTCCTTTCTTTTTGCATTCAGCTGTACTGCATGCCCGCTGCTACTCTCATGGGTCACAAGAATCAGATGAAGAATTTGATGCTCGCTGGGTGACATATTTCAACAAGCCAGATATTGATGCCTGGGAGCTCAGGAAAGGTATGTTGAATGAAAAGGGGAGATTAACATGGAGTAAATATAACTGCTATGTAATAGTTTTGTGACCAGAAATAACAACTTATTTTTACTTCACTGTTGGAAAGCAAAAATAGTTCAGTTTATAGATGTGATAGAGGCAAGAACCCACTGTTCTTGCAAACCATGAAAACTGGGAGTTTGGTGTAGGAGAGCAATCCTGTAAATACCCAGTCAGGGCAAGGCACTATGTGAGCCTTTCTTTATCGGTTCTGAGTCATCTGGCCATGTGTGCCTGTGGTTGGCGTGCTGCTGTTTGCTCAGCTCTGAGCCTGTTGCAGCGGGTGAAGGCACCTCACCAACCAAACAAGCGGGTGGGAAGGAACCACGGCATGCAGAATGAGGGAGAGTGGGGGTACAAGGCGGTGGGAGTCCAGGCTTTGTAAATTTTAGTACCCCAGAATACACATTTTAACACCTGGGTGGGAAGGAGAGAAACATTTGCTCTGAGGAAGGTGTGTTTGAGCTCAACTGTTGCTTAGCGTCTAACCACACACATTTTTCTTTGGACTTTGACTTAATGGCTTGGCCATAACTCACTGTAGACTGTTTGTTTGGTTGTCTCCAGTTGTTGTTTGCTGTGGAGTTGCCAGCTCCTGTTAAACTACCCCAATTAGGGCTTAAAAATGTGTTCGCATAACAGCCAGAGGGATCATTCCAGCATCACCTGGATGACTAGGTGTTGGGCTCTTCCCTTTGAAAGGAGAGGAAGGGAATAGACAGCAGCTTGAGTTCTAGTTTCATTATACCTGTAGGAATTAAGTAATTTGGATTTCTTAATGATTCCATAACTGATATGGTGTGGTACAGGCAATGACTCCTTTTGGGAGCATGGATGAAACTGTCCCACTGGTATTTCATGAAATCCACTTAAAATCTTAAGATCTACAGTAGTGAGCAACAGTGAGAGGGAAAAGAGCAAAAGAAAACCCTTGGCCGTGTGTGCGTGTCCCCAAAATAGCAGTGAAAATTGTAATCAGCTTCTAATGGTGACTGGCGTTGTGGTTATACTTAATTCTTTCATGAGGTGGAGCAAAATAATGCTCATCAGGTTCCTTTTGATAGCATGATGAGCTGATGCCAAGTTCCTGTTGGTGTTTTCTTATATCCACAGGCATAAACACGCTTGTGGGTTATGACCTGGTTCCGGAACCAAAAATCATCGATGCAGCTCTGAGGGCATGCAGACGGTTAAATGACTTTGCCAGTGCTGTCCGCATCTTAGAAGTTGTAAAGGTGAGTGGAACGGCAGCCTAGGGTATAACTGCTGCGTTTGCATTGCTGAGAGCCCAGCAGCGGAAGAGTTTTTCTTGGCTTACTGTTAGTGGTACAAAGGGAAACCACCATTTCCTGCTGCCAGCATCAATAGCTTCATTATGAGCACGTGCTCGGTGGCTTGAAATAATTGTTTTGAGGTAAGAGTACTGAAGAGCACAGCTTCACAAGTATAACATTCTTACTTTCATATTTTCCTTTCCTGATGCTGACTCTGGTGGGAAAGTCTCTAAGGATTTTTCTTCCTTTTTTTTTTTAACAAGCATTACTAGAAATATCTCAAGCAAAGGCAGCTTACTGGCCTCTTAAAGTACTGAATACTGAGCTGGCTGGGAGCAGTAACTCAGGAAGCTGCATAGGCTTGAAAACCAACAGAAACCAGCACCTTGAAACCTGAGTCCAGCCTTCCCTTAGCAGGGAGTTAAAATGGATGGGAGTGGAGGCAGTTCTTCTATTTCAGTCCTAGAAGCCAGCAGCTATGCTCTTCCAACTGTTTTTTGCCACAACTGAGGAGGACTGGCGTGGAGGTCTTTGCTGCTAGCTGTTAAATCCACTTGCTTGAAACTCTACTCCACAATCAATTGCTTCGCAGTTTGCTATTTCTGCTTCCTGCGTTCTTCTGTAGAACTGAAACTCTTTCAGTGGTTTTAGAGATGTGAGACCAATAGAAGAATCTTTGTATGTTTTCCTTATCTCTTTTTCTTTTTTTCCTGTCCTTTTGTCCCCACCATCTAGGGGACAATTCAGTTTATCAGAACTTGGGGACAAGCGTGTGCTCTTCCTGGAGCTCCACCTAAATATTACTCAAGGGGTGACATTTTTCCCCTGATTTCCAAGCAAGTTAAATTTTCTCCCAGGTCTGCCCAAAAGCTGATTTCATTTTTCCTGTTTTACTGATTGAATATTATTTTCATTCCATTTCCTAAGGTGTAAGCGGTCTTTGGGCTGGTTTGCAAAGCATCCCTTGTTCAAGGAGCTTGGCTTGGCCTTTAGTTTTGTGTGGTGTGACACACGTGTCACGGGTCACATCAGCCTTATGTTAAGTGAGGGAAGGGTGTCAAGTGTTAAGAATAATCTGCAAATCCCCCAACGGGGAATTCAGCATTATTCTGGGGTGCTTTGCAGCTATGGTTGATTGGTAGGAGGACTTTCCAGTATAGCTGTATGCAAGCCTTGTTTACTTGACATGCAGATGAAGCTGGGCTACACTCTCCTGTCCTCAGGAGCAGTAGGTGGATCAGGCCACGGACCCTTTTGTGAACACGCATCTCGATTGCAAACCTGGCCGGTGTATGGTGGACCTTGACAACAGCTTGCTGTCGAAATAACGCCATTCCTTTTCATCTAGGACAAGGCAGGACCTCACAAGGAAATCTATCCTTACGTTATCCAGGAACTTAGACCAACTTTGAGTGAACTGGGAATCTCCACTCCAGAGGAGCTGGGCCTGGACAAAGCATAAACCTTATCGGTAAGGGATGCGGTCACTGCCGAGGCTCTTGGCATGGGACTCCTGTACCCTAAAACTCTCCTGGCAAGACAGAGTCCTCTTCCTTGCCTTCCTGGGTCTGTGAAAGGCTGTCAGGTTCAGGCTTGTAACATGATTCTCCAAAAACCTCTAGAATTATGGGTCTCCTAGAAAAGGTAGTAACCCTTTTCAAAGAAGTCTTAAAAAAAGAGCAGTGCAGGCGCTTGAGAAGGGATAGGGTGGTTGGCAACCATACTCAACCTCCCAGAAATTTCTAGGTAGCAGTTGCTGAGACAACAGGCATTGCAGCACTTCGTTTGCAGCGTCGCGACCTTTGCTCCTCATCAGCTTTTCTCCCAGAAGCATTTTTAGCAAATGGCAGGATCATTTCCTCTGGAAATGCACAAACTTTTCATTTTACTGTCACAGCGTAGCCAATTTAGAAAACTGGGAGACACTAATTACTAGCTTATGCTAGAAAATGAGCCCCACTGATGGTAGTCACTGAACAACGCTGAAGTTTCTTCCCATTACACTTAAAATAGCATCTTTTTCTGTAATTAAACGGGGGGGCTTGTGTACAGAATAAACAGAGCAGCTGTAGCATAGCCAGAACTTAACTGCTCTGTGTGCAGGACACTCATGAGCCTCAGTAGATAATTTCAGAAGCAGTGCATGTAGTATTTCATCCTGATTGCAGTGGCCTCAAGTCTCGGAAAGCCACTTGTTTTACTGCCTTTTTAGAGCTGAACTTCTGAGCACTTTCTAAACTTGAAAACAACTATAACAAAGACATTTAGATGTACATCAAATGCCAGGCTCGTGCATGAACTGCAGCATATGAAGGCGTTGTTACTAAGCAGCAGCTTCTCTGGTTAATGAGGATCTGTCATTAAGTATAGGCAAGACCTAACATGCTATAATCCCAGACTAAAATGAAGCCCTAAATAAAAATCCTCATGGAAGTGAAGTTATGTAAAGGCAGTCTCTTAACTCAGTTCCTTCAGGAGATGGGCAGTGTCATGTTCCAGCCCTTTTCTTTTTTTAATATTATGCTTAGAATAGAGCTATCAGGTGTCAGGCTGCAAATAGTACTTCATTCTGGATCTTTAAGTCCCTCCCCTTCTTCTTGCCCTGGGGTACGAAGTTAGGAATGCAGTCATTGCATTTGGAAGCTGTGCATGGTTACATTGGGCTTGGAGTGTAAAAGCAAGCGATGAAAATAACACGTTTGAGACCCCATGGAAACTTTGTGGAGATAATGGGCTGCTGCTTTAATGGCTTTTCTGTTCTTTTCTGTTCCAGGTGCATTACTCGAGCATTTTACTGATGCTACCTGATCGTACACAGTCGCCTGGAGACACAAATGTTAAAATATTACCTTATTTGAAATAACTTCTTCCTTTATTGAGTCACAATGTATGTGATGTGAAGTTGGACCTAATAAAGGAAAAACTGGTTTGACTGATGTGGTAGCGGTGGCTTGTGTGATTATTTCGTTTTGCTTTTATGGGGAAAAGGAAGAAACAAACTGTAAACGTGCTTTCCCAAGAGAGTACGTGTAAGAGTTTGTAAATCATTCCCTGCTTGGCAGAGCGTGCGTCCTAGCTCCAGCTTCGGGAAGGGCAAGGTAAGGACCGCTCTGGAGGGCACGGTGACCCGCTCCTGCGCCCAGCTTGGGGGACTTGCGAAACTCAGCCGGCCCTCGGAGGAGTAATTCCCTTCTGATGAGGTCGGGGCTTAACGAAGCCTCCGAGGTGGGTGGGAGGCTCCCGTTGGCCAGGGGCATGCTCTCCGGTGGCTAGCAGGGCTGGGAATCTCGTCTGGGATAGGCACTGTGCTGAAGAGCCGGTGTTCAGCCAAAAAGGGGCGGGGGCGGAGCAAAACTCCTCTATTATGGTTTGTTGGTTTTTTTTTTTTTTTTTTCCCCGAGAAAAAGGGAATTTTTCAGGAAACACATGAATGCGGCAGGGAAGCGGTTCCCCGTTGCACGGCGGGCGCAGGGCAGGGCCGCGCTGGCGGGAGGCCCCGGCGTGGGTCCCCGTGTCCCGCTGCCGGGGCGTCGCGCTGCGCATGCGCGGCGGAGGGGCGCACCACC